GTTGCCATTCCTGAGGATTCAGATGTTATTCCTCTGTACCCAGTAAATTGACGCCATATCCCACCCTTCAAACCGAAACACAGCCATGCAAACACAACTGCTTCACGGTTGAAACACGAATGGAACAGAGGTACCCAAGCAATCGACTTTTGTGCAAAGTCCCCCTCAGGTATGAACAAAAACACGGAATTGAGTTCGAGATTTTGGAATTTCGTCCCATGATGGACCTGATGAACATATATACGACTGTCGAAGGACTCTTCAACGGTATTCCGAGAGAAATCGGACTGTTATAAAAAGCAAGATGATGCAATCAGCTTCAATATAGTGTATATTGTTGGGGGAAAGGGATTGTTAGTAATGGAGACTGAGAATCCAATTGCTAGCAATATACCCAACCAGGTCGACCTGCTCGCAGTTCTCTCTGGAAACTATCATGGTTAATTCCTGTTGAATTCATCATGATGTGCTCACTGGTCTGTTTTCATTCTCATCTATCACACTTCACTGGTGCTCCGCCAGTGTATACCGTTAGCGCAGGCGGGGTTACCATACCATTTTCACCCATCAAAAAAAATTGTGTATATATAAATGTATCATATCTCTATATTAAGAAATAATAGAATTTCATTGTGCCTCGGATCAAACTGTTTATAATTACTCCTCTCCATCCAAAAGTTGCCTAAAAGAGATCGCTCTCAGCGATAAGGTCGCCCATTGTTTTCTCATTGTGATTATTTCTTGTAATTGTTTGTATCTATAATAAGTTTACTATTGTAATCTTTTGGAGGAAACAATAAAGAGTATCTATCTATCTATCTATCTGTAGCTGTGCCATCTTGGACATTGTCTTTTAAATATAACTCCAGGGGCACTGTGACTCAAGGGAGCAATGACTTCCTGTTTTCTGCAACTGCATTGCCAACATTGTTTCATATGACAAATAAATGTAGGTCTTTTGTCCGCAGCGTTGCTTTATTAAGTCAATCATCTTCATCAGCCTTTAACTGTCCACTGCTGAACATAAGCCACCCCCTTGGGAGGGTTTTGCCAGTAGCTGCCACGCTTGGCAGGCGAATCGGCAATCGCAGTTAAGCTTTGGAGATGTTTTAAAAGGGACGCTGCTGCCCATCCCTCGCCGTCCCTTAGTCGTCTCTTACGACACATACGGGAAAGGAAAGAGTGGCCGGGACGACACGGCCAACGTTTTACAATCATCATCTTCATCTTCCTACCCTTATCCCAATTATTATTTGGGGTCGGCGTAATATGTTTTTTATCCATATTACAAAAAGATTTGGCTTATAGTTTTACAACCGGCCACCTGGCTGACGTCAACCCTCTTTGGGAAAATTGGCCAACGTTTTACAATATTGAGTAAAAATGCTTTCAACGCGCAAAATCGTGGAGAAATGTTTGAAAAAAGTAAATGTAGTTGAAGAATTTTGGATACTTTTTGTCAATTTTGGTATTCGAAAACCACGCAGCGATATATATATATATAAGATAAAGAAACTCGGCGCCCGCTTGCTGTGCGACCAGTAGTTCCAGAGATATTAGCAGTTGAATGGAAAAGGATGCTTTTGCATTCAAAGTTCGATATCTCGGAGACAAATGGTCGTAATTGAGCCATCCAAAGCGATTTTTGAAGCTGAATAAACACGCTAAGAGACCTATACAATGGAGTAGCTCGAAAAAAATTTTCCATGCCCATAGAGTGAAAAACGAAAACTAGAAAATTTAGAAAAAAAATATTTTCAGCTTTGTTTAAGAATTGCATGGAAACCGGAGTTCAAAAAATTTTTTCACCAAAAAATCTGAAAACTAGAGTTTTCAAGCTTCAAAACCCTTTTTTTAAATTTCCTGTACGATTATTTTTCACTGAAATACAGCCTGTTGAAAATCACCCAAAAATTTCAAAAATTTTTATGTTCCCTTAATTTTTGCGAGGAGTGTATATGTTTTTATCATAATATTTAAAAAAAAAAACAATACATATTTAGGTATTTACGAGTTTGTATTGTTATGTATTTACATATAATGATATACATATATCTAAATAGTGTAAATATACATAAATTTATCAATGCACGTCAGTATGTGATAAGGTGTTCCAATTTGATTCATCATACCAGCCTTTGTTTGTCCACTGCTGAACATAAGTCTTCCCTATTGGGGCGTTTTGCTTGTAGTTGCCACGCTTGGCAGGCGGATTGGCAGTCATTTTCTTTTATAGGCAAAGATGGAAAGGTAACCCCGCCTGCGCTATCGGTATATAGGTGATAATAAAATAGTAACCCCACCGCGCTATCGGTATACGCTGGCGGGGCACCAGTGAAGAATGACAGGTGAGGAGAGGCAAGTCAGTTAGCCCACCGTGACAAACTTCCTCCGGATGGGGGGGGGGGGGGGGGGGTTGCCAGTAATTGCCACGCTTTGCAGTCGAATTGCCAACCGCAGTTACGCTTTGGTAAAGTTTTAAGAGGGACGTTGCTGCCCATCTCTTGCCCTCTCTTAGTCGTCTCTTACGGGAAAGGAAGGGATTGCCTATACTATGCCGGGACCATATTTTAATATATATCATTGCATGTTAAAATATATCGTAAAATAAATTGTACTGAACGTAAATTTAACACTAAACCTACCGACATGGGGGGAAAAGGGATTGTTAGTAATGGACACTGAGAAGAATCCCATTGCTAGCAATATACCCAAACCAGGTCGACCTCCTCGCGCTTCCTCCTGAAAACTATCATGGTTAATTCCTGATGAATTCATCATGATGGGCCAACTGGCCTGTTTTCATTCTCATCTATCACCCTTCACTGGTGCTCCGCCAGCGTATCCCGTTAGCGCAGGCGGGGTTACCATGCCATTTTCACCCATCAAAAAAAACCGTACCGACATTTCATATATACCTAATCCTACCATGACCGCTTTGAAATAAACTATGTATCTTAATATAGGAAGAGATTTTAGCAGACATGTAGACATAGCATAAAATGTTGACGTACCTCCCCATTGCATTATATTTATTTATAATTTATAATAATTTAATTACAATTCCCATTATTTATATTATATTATTATTCATATTGTTAATATCTTTACTCATATAATGACATTTAATAATTTAATTCTATTTTAATGTTTACCAAACACAAGGCACGCTGTGGTCGCCTATAAATGTAAGAACAGTTAGATCTAATCCACCAGTGTATTGTATTGAAATGTTTCGCTGTATCTTATGGTGGTGATCCTATAAATATATAAAAAGCATAGCATATTAATAAATAGTTACTATCAAATTTAACCATCGTTTAAAAAGCAGTTAACACTAATGTGTTTATAATGACTACTTGACTTATGTTAGAATTCAGTCATTAACCAGAGGGAGACTTTGTACAAAAGTCGATTGCTTAGGTACCTCTGTCCCATTCGTGTTTTAACCGTGAAGCAGCTGTGTTTGCATGGCTGTGTTTCGGTTTGAAGGGTGGGATATGGCGTGAATTTACTAGATACAGAGGAATAACACCTGAGTCCACAGGAATGGCGACGCATGGGGGGTATCATGGGCGAAACTGTATACTCTGTTATGTTCACGGTACTACTCATATCTATAGGCGACGGTTATTACTTTTTATCAGGTGGGCCGTCAGCTTGTTTGCCATTCTAAGTTGTATAAAAAAAAAATGAATTAATTATCAGAAATGGAATTCATTAAAAATTACTATTACGTTTAGGGAGAAAAAAATACATGTCTTCTTTTTTTTCATTTAAGAGTTTCCTCTTGTCGGTGCAACTAATTCATGCATCTTCCTCCAGCCAGCTCTATCCCAGGCCATATCCTTTATCTCCCTATACGACATGACGGCTAGTGTTTCCTTTATCTGTCCCATGTAGTCATTCCTCGGTCTTCCTCTTCCTATTTTGCCCTCTACTATGCTTTAAAAAAATCGTCAAGTCTGTATAAGGTGGCCCAGCATTTTGCCTCTTCTATTCTCTATTATTTTAATGTTCTTTTCTCGTTCACTCTTTTCAGGACTTACTCATTCATTAGTTTTTCTGTCCAGCTTATACTTTCCATTCTCCTCCATGTCCACATGTCTCTATATAAGGCGAAATGATTATTGATTATTTAAAATCATTCGTACAGCCCACTGAGGGTTGTGACATTCCCAAAGAGGGTTGACGTCAGCCAGGTGGCCGGTTGTAAAACTATAAGCCAAATCTTTTTGTAACATGGATAAAAAACATATTACGCCGACTGCAAATAATAATTGGGATAAGGGTGGGGAGAGGATGGTGATGAATTGTACAGACCACTTTCCATATTTTCCGTGTGGTCCCGGCGTAGAATGGACCACCCTATCTTTTCCTCGTAAGAGGCGACTAAGGGAACGTTATGGTAAAGAGATAGGCAACGGCGTCCTTCTTAAAACATCTCTGAAAAGCTAGTATATAGTATGTACTAGATAAAATGAAAAGTTATCAGTTGGTGTCATAGTTGATAGTGGCAACCCTAGTCACAGGGGGGAAAGGGATTGTTAGTAATGGAGACTGAGAATCCCATTGATAGCAATATACCCAACCAGGTCCACCTCCTCGCGGTTCCCCCTGGAAACTATCATGGTTAATTCCTGATGAATTAATCATAGTGGGCTAACTGGCCTGTTTTCATTCTCATCTATCACCCTTCACTGGTGCTCCGCCAGCGTATCCCGTAAGCGCAGGCGAGGTTACCATACCACAATTACCCATCAAAAAAACCCTAGTCACAACTTAGTACGTTACCCATATCGCACCATTATGGTACTCCAATAAAAAAACTCCCACACATACGAGAGCAGTTACATTGACTCTGACATCTTTACATTAATTAGTTCATCGAACCCCGTCCGTTCCCCTTTATTAAAACTGTACAAAACGTTTTGAACACGTTTCAATTCCTTACATACTGCCAAAATTAATTCCCAAACACTATTAAAAAAAATTTTTACCAAGTTCATCCACCGACACTGAAGTAATTTTATCGGCGGCCATTATCACAAATAAATAAATCACAGTCACTTGTAAAAATTTTCAAATTCGCAAACACAACTGCGTAGAAAGTATATTGCAATGACGAATTGTATTTATAAACGTGACTTTGTTACGAGCGACCCGCCCGTACGCGTCCGTACGCGTCGAGCGCTCAACCAAGACTGACTACAAAATTAGAATGCGTGTAAACAAAGCAGGTTGGTTGCGTGGGCGCAGCGCGACGCCCGTGTATCGAGACACGTTCGCCTATCGTGGAATTAGATACGTAGACGGCGTGCGTGGAACTATGATTTGTGGAAAAAGCAGAGATAAATGCGGAGACGCATAAAAAATTAGGTATCAATATAATAATAAGTATTCATATAAAGAACGTTGCGTAGTTAGAATTTCCAACAAACTCTCGTATGATAGTAAACATCCCTAAGTAATATAATAAATGCGAAAGCTCGTAACGATGGATGAATCCATGGATGTTTATTACTGGACCGATTTTAATGAAATTTGGTACATGGATAGATTACATCCTAATTTAACACTCACGAGTAGGACATTTAATATACTGATGGCACATTGGTAACACAGTGATTAAAAACAAACACAAGGACAGTGCTCCCGCCTGTGCAGGATATTAGACAAATCGAATATGCAGATGGACGGACGGACAGATGAGTTTGTGATGAATACATATGGCATCTTATGTAGAGGTATATGCTTGACAAGTGGGACAGATAGTGGTATCACAGTTAACGTCGTAAAATTTATTGTTAATTCACAATTTATAATTGACTAGTCGCTCTATTATTGGCGCCGACTGCGTAATCTCGAGACCTAATGAACTTTAATAAAAAAAAAATATTGACTATTTTTTTTTGCCTCAACAGAGCAAAGACATAATACGTTATCTTAAAGTATGTTTCAGTTGTTTTTTTTTTTACTTTGTTATCAATACATGCGAAAGATTTTATGACCATTAGCAAAATTTAAATAAACATATGGCGTTATAGTTTTTTTTTTTTACATCAATTCTTATCAATCGGTGTAGTTATCTAGGATCCGGCCAGCGATGATAAGCGACCATACATACAAGCCATGACCGTTCACAACAACGGCGGCACCGCACACAGCGCCGCCACCCCTCGTGTCGTGAAAATCACGAATCGCAGTACGCAAATGTCACCGCCATATTTCGCCCTTCGCGCCGGATCACGGCTCGCGAGAGGATTTATCCCTTAAAGGGAGCTCTTCCAGTCAACCTTGAGAAGCCGAAAGGAATAAGATATGTTGAGTTGTTTAATAAAGCATAAAATATATAGTGCAAAAATAATATGTTAATAGATATAGCGGAAGGAGTTTGAAAAACAGACAATCTGACATTCTACTTCATTTGTTAGCTGTAATCTGATTTTTTTATGACAATAGAGTATTTTTTTTATTGAATGATAACCAATGAGGGCTGATAGATGCGGATGAGGCAGGTCAGTTGGTCCATCGTGATAAATTCAGCAATAAACCAATCACGATGGTTTCCAGAGGGAACCGCGTGGTTAGACCTGATAGGGTTTATTGCCAGCAATGGAGTCGCTGATGCCCATTACTAACAATCCCTTCTCCCCCGATGACAATGGAGTCGTAACCCTGCTTCCACAAGGGGAAAGGGATTGTTAGCAATGGAGTTTGACAGCCCCATTGCTAGCAATATGGCCTATTAGGTCGACCTCCACGTGGTTCCCTCTGGAAACCATCGTGAACAATTCTTGTTGAATTCGTCACGATGGGCTAACTGACCTGCTTCATCTTCACCTATCATCACTTACTGTTGCCCCGCCGGCGTATACCGATAGCACAAACGGGGTTACCGTTCCATTATCATCCATTACAAAAAAACATACTACATTGTATGGCATTGTCTATTCGTATTGGTGTCAAAGATAAGATTGTCTGAGTTTTATCACATGTCCTTACTGTTTCCTTGTGGCAATGAATTTAATGAAGGCTGTTGATATTCGGTAAAATGGTGAAGCTTGCTTACGAAAATGTTCTTTCATTTCTTTTGTGAAACATATCACATTATATTTACGTCAGATTACATTTAATCTCATTTCGTCATAGTCGTAGAATACTGACCGGTCTTTATATGTAACATTCGTCAGATCCGTCAGTATTCTACGACTATGACGATTTATAGAGACGCGATTCCGCGTTCTAAATTAGGATATTTTCAATCTAATGTATTTGTAAAGATATGATTCCTTTTTCCTTTATTTCTCTATTTACTTATATAGTTTATATTCTAAATTCAAATGTTTAAATCTAATGTATTTGTAGAGATAAAATTCCACGTTCTAAATTCAAATATTCTGTTATTTTTCAGTCCAATGTATTTGTAAAGATAGGTTTCGTTTTTCCATTTTTTTTTCATCAATTTATTTATAATATGAACCATATATTCTAAATTCAAATGTTTAAATATAATGTATTATAGAGATAGGGTTACTTATTTTCATTTTTTTTTTTTTTCATTAATTTATTTATACGATTCACGTTCTTAATTCAAATGTTTTCAATCTAATGCATCTATTTGTAGAGAGAGCATTCCACGTTCAAATATTTTTTCTGTATTTGTTGACAATCTACATTTTTACATGATTGAAGCCGCCATATTTCTGCGGATCAATATGTATTTTGCGCGTAAGTTGCGCGTGTCTCCCGCAAACTGTGAACCGATTTTGACGAGTCATTCTTCTAACTAAACGAAAGCCACGCTCCGTTTGGGCCTCTGAATGGCATCATTATCCGCTTGGTAGGTACAACATACGTTACGTGAATCACGTAGGTGTCGACTGCCGACTGCCGGCTGCCGGCTGCCGACCTTCACCTTACTATTGAGGTCATGTTTGTGTACAGGCGGGACAGTACGGACGGACGGGGCAACGTTTTGTATATATAAATATAAATAACGCTAAGGAAGGCCTTGGTGACGTTGAAACAAGGAAGCTTCTATTTATTTTTAAGCGTTTGTAATATTTATTTATATAAAAATTATAATTAATTCGTCATGTCTGTGTTCATCACCATATCAGCCGTTAACTGAACATTATATTTTATTAAAAAAAAAAAATACTTAACACATTTTTTTTATACAACTTAGAATAGCAAACACATAGCTGACGGCCCACCTGATGGAAAGTGGTAACCGTCGCCTATACACATGAGCAGTACCGTGGACATAACAGAGTATACTGTTTCGCCAATGATACCCCCCATGCGTTGCCATTCCTGAGGATTCAGATGTTATTCCTCTGTACCCTGTAAACTCACTGCCATATCCCACCCATCAAACCGAAACACAGCCATGCAAACACAACTGCTTCACGGTAGAAACACGAATGGGACAGAGGTACCCAAGCAATCGGCTTTTGTACAAAGTCTGCGCCATGTTGTAATTCAATTTATTTATTCGTTAAATTGCCGTGGTAATCCCGGCATAGAATAGAACAGCCTTAGAGACGACTAAGGGAGCATATGGTGGAGGGATGGGCAGCAGCGTCCCTCTTAAAACATCTGTAAAAGCCTAACTGCGGTTGCCAACCCGCCTGCCAACTACTGGCAAAACTCCCCTTATGCGGAAGGCTCATGTCCAGCAGTGGACAGTTAAAGGCTGACATGATTCGTTAAATATTAATAGTCATTTATAGTGCTCAGTTTGAAAGTCGACCTAATAGGGTATATTGCGGGGAGAAAGGGATAGTTAGTAATGGAGACTGAGAATCCCATTGCTAGCAATATACACAACCAGGTCGACCTGCTCGCGGTTCTCCCTGGAAACTATCATGGTTAATTCCTGATGAATTCATCATGATGGGCTAACTGGCCTGCTTTCATTCTCATCTATCACCCTTCACTGGTGCTCCGCCAGCGTATCCCGTTAGCGCAGGCGGGGTTACCATACCATTTTCACTCATCAAAAAAAAAAATGGGGTATATTGCTAGCAATTGGATTGCTAATCTTCATTATGAACAATGCCTTCTTCTTTCGGCTGAACTATGTGTACACCATATTTTTTTTTACAACACAGGGGGCAAACGAGCATAACCTTCAAGAAAAGAGCATATTTTAGCCTTTTTAAAAGGCCGGCAGCACACCTGCAATGCCTCTAGTGTTGCGGGTGATCATGGGCGGCGGTAGTCACTTACCATCAGGTGGGCCGTCAACTTGTTTGCCATTCTAAGTTGTATATAAAAAAAAAAACCTCTGAAATTATCAACGTTTCTCTACAATATTATGCATGTATTATACATATAAACATTTCTCTTAAATCACTCTATCTATTAAAGGAAACCGTTTCAAAATCCGTTGCGTAGTTTTAAAGATTTAAGCATACATAGGGACGGACAGACAGCGACAGCGACTTTGTTTTATCCTATGCAGTGACCATAAACAAACAATCAAACCTTTCCTATTTATAAGTGCAGATGCACAATCTGATAACAACTGCACTAAAACATCACAGTATAACGATGTATCAAAACAATTAATATACTATGTAGCCGAGACATGTGTAGAACGGATCAAGGGCGAGGTCCATTGACATATTAACCTAATGACGTATACTAGGTCTCCAAGGAATGGCTCAGTTCCAATTTTCAAGCACATGTACGAGGTTCAGTTTTTTTTTTTTCATTGCTTTATATTTAAAATTGGAAAACTCACTCTCAATAGTTTTTTTTTAAATGTGAAAATGAATGGTAACCTCGCCAGTGCTATAGACCAGAGGGAGACTTTGTACAAAAGCCGATTGCTTGGGTACCTCTGTCTCATTCGTGTTTCTACCGTGAAGCAGTTGTGTTTGCATGACTGTGTTTCAGTTTGAAAGGTGGCGTGAATTTACTGGGTACAGAGGAATAACACCCGAGTCCTCAGGAATGGCACCGCATGGGGGGTATCATGGGCGAAACAGTATACTCTGTTATGTCCACGGTACTGCTCGTGTCTATAGGCGACGGTTACCACTTTCCATCAGGTGGGCCATCATCTTGTTTGCCATTCTAAGTTGTATAAAAAAAAGAATACGCTGCAGTCTATGGGAAAGGCCTATGTCCAGCAGTGGAGTGATAATGGCTGAGATGCTGACGATGTTAATTAAAATTTACCGTATT